ATTATTGCTATGACTCGAATTTCTGATGGGGATACAACTCAAGAGCACCCGAACCAACTCAAGAATGCTCAATCTAAAAACGCTCAACTCATACATTTAAAAATTTTTTAACTTTAATAAAAATTTTACTAACGCTAATATAAATTTTAATAACTAAAGTAATGATACAAATAATTGCAGCACGAATTCATGCTCTTGTAGGAAAAATAATTCGTTATACTCAAGACGCTGTGGATGCGTTTTACGTGGAGAATGCAATTTTTTTTTTTTTTAACCCGTAAATTTCATACCGATTGAAAAATGACATGCGTCAATTAATAATTGACGTAAATTATATATACTGCCTCAAAATAGCGTTCATGGCGCCCTGAAATAACACGCATCTAATAACCATGCCAGTATAACCGAAATATGAAAACAATTATATAAACTTTGTATCTGAAATTGGGTTGCGGAGCCTGCGTGCTACAAACAATTTTTAAATTTCCGCAATTAAAACCTAAGTTTGTATGCGGTTTCTACATATAACTTTCGCAAAACTGTGTATATAATTTTGTTTATACATTTATAGCGCAACCAAATTTCATTATCACGCAAGTTAAAGTATTTTTTTTTATAAAGTTGTGGACCCGCAACAAGTATGGTCTTCGTACAATACATATGAAATTATCAATGTGAAATGCGCGTTATCTTAAATCTATCAAGTCAGGGAAATTGGTTTATTATTTTGAAATAACGCACATAAGCGTACCCACAAGTCAGTTAATAATGTACAGGTGAGCACCACAAATAACTTCGTAGAACTTTTCAACCACGCACTCTTGGGTTCCCAGATTATTTCTGCCTTCTTTACATAAGTGAAGTTCTATAATACCAACGCGAAGAACTTTAAAAGTATTAATCGCTTAATGTTTAAACGTTGGGTTACACTGAATATCTTTATTTTTTTGTAGTTTAGACATTCATTTATCGTGCGCTGTCCATCAAGCTTCGTTTATTTTATTTTATTTTTTTGATTTGTATAAGTCTCACGGACAACTTTGTAGATTCATTATCTGTTATTAACGAAGAAAAAAAATAAAGTACAATTATTAATGAAGAAAAAAAAAATGAAGTGTATTTATTAACGAAGAAAAAATGAAGTATAATAAAGAACTTCTTAAAAAACCATTTTTAAAATTTTCCATCATTCGTATCAATATAATACGTAATAAGTCATCGTTGATTATAATATGATCTGCATTAAGAATTGACCTGCGTCGTTTATCAATCGGTGAAAATTGAAAAATGACATGCGTCAATTAATAATCGACGCAAATTGAAAAATGACACATAACATATATAGCTTGGTCCCAACTCATAAAACCTCTATATAAAAATCTAATATATTTCAGTAAAGTACTCTTATTATATTTTATGTATACAAAAAAAAAAAATTTGAGGCTCTCATAAATTCATTAATGTAATTTATTATAAAAAAATAATCTACATTACATATTATTTGCCCTTTAATCATAAACAAAAACAATAAATACAGTATGTAGTTGAACTTAACAAAATTACAAATTTAATTATTGTCAAGCTGAAGTTCTCTATTAACTTCTTCTTTACTATAAGTTTCAACAATACTACCAAAATAAATCTAAAAAAAAAAAAAAAATTTTAAAATATATAAGTTATTTATATATATTTATTCTTCAAATTAACAAATAAACTCTGATACATAAATATACTTACAAAAAATATAGCAGAAATTAAAAAATTTGTTAATAACCAAAATAGGAACATATTAGCACCTTGATCACAAGCGTTATCAATTACATTTTGGGATAGTGCATCAGGGTCATATGGAGTTGTAGAAGTACTACTATTTGAAGGTATCAGATAATTTAAATCTTTATGACAGTTTGCGATTATATCATTACGCCACACAAATGAAAGAATTAATTCAGTCAAATGTAAAATTAAAAGAAGAGCTATTGAGAGCCAAAATAATTTTGAGAATATTTGTAACATTTTTGAATTTTTCTTGAATCAAAAAAAAAAAAAAAAAAAAAAAAAATCGAGAATTGAGCGAGAAATTAAAGATTAAATCAGTTTATATATATAATTTGCATATTCAAAAACTTACTTTACGTATTGCGTGAAAACCAAACACTGCAATGGGAATCGTACAAGCGTATAAAATACCAAAGATTATGGTTGTCTCATTTGGTAAATGAAACACATATGCTATTAAACAATTAATTATCGTTATAATTAATAATTCAGATGATTATGCACATAGCAGATAGCGAAATACGTAGAAAGTAAATTACCATCAGCTTCTGCAAAAGCAGCTGCAGCATTCCATATTCCGTGTAGCTGTGAAACTGTTAACAATTTTTTTATTCTTTTTAAAAAAAAAAAAACAGAAAAAGTCATAAATAGCTTACCAATAGTACTATTATTATGATTATCACACCTATGCGAAGTTGAATGCAACAACAGAATCGACTTGGACGTCTTTTAAAGATCCTATCATGCAAATGCTTTTTTTTTCCTGTATCTTTTTCTTTACCTTTTCCTTCAGTTTCCATTTGGGCAAAAGCGGTAATTGAAAATTTGGCTATCCGCTATGATCTCTATTTTTATATAAAATTGGTAAATCTGTGAATCTGTAATACCATATTTTTTTTACAATGGGAGCTTTGGTAATACAGATATTCAAGAAAAAACCATTACACATAAAAATAGTTAAGTCATTAGATATTGAGGTTTTCGATATACGTACTAATTAATCAAATCTATGTTAATGTATTATAATAAAAATAAAACTAATTTGACACCCAGTGTTTGAGACACGGATTTAATTTTTTATAAAAAATAAATTTAATTAACTTTAGGGTTAGGGCGAGGCTAGGATTAGGGTTAGAACAAGGTTTATATGTATAATTTAGCAAGGAATTTTTTTACTTAGAACCTCAAAGGCAGTTTCATAAGCGAAATTTTCAGATATTCGCATTTTTTATTTTAGTTACACAAAAAGATTTACATGTTACACCTGATCTTGAATTTTGATTGGCTTTTCTAATACTTTTGTATTAAATTTACTAGCAAAGATTAATGTTCATCTCATGTATTTAAACAAAGCTATAGTTAAAAAAATTTTTTGGCACATTAGAGAGTGCGGTGTACTATGTAAATCAAAACTATATGCGAATTTTAAATCGATGCACAACCCTAACGGTCCGATAGTTTAAGATAAAATTTTGTAACGATTAATATTAGGCCACGCAAAGTCGATTTTTCGTTTCACATTACCCGCCGCCCGATTTTTTCAATTTCTCGGAATTTTTTTTTTTTTTTAGAGTTCCAATTGTGACAATTATTCCATTTTTGCTGTTTATTTTTTACATCTTTTTTATCCGGTATCATCCGATGGTGACCTTAACTTTCCGGAATTATTCGATAGGAAAACCAGACTTCGGGCTTTTAAATTTATAAATTACCAGACTAAAACATGTCGGCAACTAATAAATTTGTAAGCCCGAGGTTTGGTTTGTCTTTGGCGACATTTATATTAAAAAAAAAAAGAAAATTAGAAAAAAAAAAAAAAAACCGCTCGCCGCCCAAGTTTTAGGATTTCATGTAATGTGAAACGAAAAATCGACTTTGCATGGCCTTATGTCTACAAATAAAGCTATAGAGCCATTTCTTTTATTTAATCATGAAAAAATTTTAGACTTCTTTTTTAAGCAGAATTTTGAATTTTTTCATGGTTGAATAAAAGAAATGACTCTATAGCTTTATTTGTAGAGACATAATATTGGTCATTACAAAAATTTATCTTAAACTATCGAACCGTTAGGATTGTGCTATTATAGTACATACGCAATATCAAAAATATTTATTAACAGATTTTAATATATGATACGTACCACATAGTTTTGATTTACATAGTACACATTGGCACATGAGATGAAGCAATTTTACGTAGTAAATCTGTACTACCGCTACTAGTATTTATAGATTTGATTATAGATATCTTTTTCTCTTTGTTTACAGAAAGAAATGGACGAAAAATTTTTATTCAAACATTTTTTTTTTTTTAAAAAAAAAAATTCTTTCGTGAAAATGTCTTATTTTTCCTAATCCAAAATAAATGGTAAGTTTTTTTCTTACTAAATATATGTTGCTAGCATATATTTGTTAGTTTTTTTCAACAAATATATGTAATGACCTCTTGACAATCCGATGTGTAAGTTACGCTGCGGTTGAGTGAGGTACAGACTGGTGGTGGTTCTGGGGAGATACATAGTATACGCAGAATGTAAATTCCGTGAGGGAGAATTTGTGCAGTCACCCGTGTAGACATTTGGGTTGATTCAACATCGTATTTGCAATTTTTTTTAACCTGTAGGCTGAATCCTAAATATAAAGTTGACGTTGATGATTCAAAAAATTAAGTATAGGATCTGTGTTTGCTTTTTTCCTGAAATTGTTGATAAGATTTTCGAAGACGCGCAAATCCTGGAACAAAATCAAGAAAAATATGAAATGGAAATGTAAGTATATAAAATATAGGTGTATCTGTATTTAATATGCCTAAAGCGTTTGTTAATTTAGTTATGAAGAAATATCGACCACGTCTACAAGTAACGAAAATGTTCGATATATGTCAGTTTATAGTCCAATAATGAGTATTTCGAAAAGGATCGCATCCAATACATTATTTTTTACTTTTTAGTAGGATCAAGTAATCTGTGGGGTTGATTTTGTCACCTACGCAGCCAATTGACTTTTAAATCGTGAACGTACACAAAGAAAGATAATGTAGTATTTGCCATGGAAAAAAAAAAGGGACATAATGAAAAACTTCGACAGTGGGGCCAGTAAAAATCGACCCAACTTTGACATACCTCGTGTTTATTTGTCCCCCCCCCCCCCCCCCCCCCCCTTCTTTCTCTATATTCATTGCCTTTACGACAATTTCAACATAGTGGTCTACAATTCTTAGTAGTTATGCACTGTTTTCTTGGATTATTTTTCGAT